GTGCTCTGGGGCTATCAGCTGTCCTGCGTGGGGCTCTCGGCAAGCTCTGCGTGCAGCTCGGGGAACTAGAGGTCTCCATTCCCTGGTGGCCTGGGTTGGCTCCCCTCTGGTATTTGCACGAGCCCAAGGTTTCCAGACAGTTCCCTCAAATGCAAACTGCATTGTCTCTTACCCCAGGATCACCCCGCTCATTTGGGTTGGACCCACTGGAGATCTGGCACAGAGTGCCAGAGCCTGCATGCTGGGTACTGTCTGTGTGTATGGACACAAGTGCTCCTCTTCCCCTTGGTACACTTCCACTGGTTGTGGTGCACAAGCCTTCCCAGGGGTGGTTGTGGTTGGTTAGCCGAATTGCTGGTTTCCCCAGCTGCTGGATTTAAAGGCAGTGTGTGAACTGACAGGATAGCATTTGCCATCAGACTTGCTCGCTCTGATTTTTCTGTGTAGAGTGGTGCTCCACAGGGTGTAGATCTCTGAAGGACATACATCTCAAAAGGCTTTTTTTGCTGGAATTTATCTGGCTCCCTATAGAATACTATAACCTGCTATGGTATGTGTGCTTCAAAATATTGGACAATTTCTAAATAGTTATGCTAACAAATCAAAACAAGGTGGAACCATTTCAAGTCACTCGTGAAGTCACTGTCATCACTTGAAGTGCTTTGGTGCACTAGCAGTAACAGAGCGACTCAGTACTTTCTGTCATTTAATCCTATCCCAGTAAGCCTCCACATTAGATATGACAATGAAGATAAGCAGAAAATAAACCAGGCCTCCAAGACCTCTCCTCTCACCCTGGGGACCTGGGAACATCCCCAGGCCATCCCACCCTGACAGACGAGCACTTGCCAGGGAGAGCGCTCACCTGGCTGAGCCCTCCTGCTCGTACGCAGCAGCATCTTTTTTACTCCAGTGAAGGTTCAAATCCTCATTTGCTTTTCTTTCCCCCCCCCTGCCCATGTCTTTGTTACATACGTGTTCACGCCTTGAAGGTGCCATCATGTGCCATTGCAGGGCAGGAGCTGGGAGGTAGTGGTAACCTCACAGCCGTGGCATTTGCCTGCCAGGTCCCCAAAGGGCACAGCTCTGCTGGCAGCAATGGGACTGTTATGATCAGCTGTATCAGTTGTGGATCTGGCACAAAATATCCTCAGGCAATGACTTGCTGTGAGAAGGATAAAAGAAGGTCAAGGAAATTTATAATCTGACATGCCATAAATGCAGCATGACTCTGCACATATGGTTGACATCCTCCACAGTATACGTAAATGCAGGGAGAGCTGCTACAGATAGCAATACCTATGAAATCAGAGATTTCTGAAATCAGTGTTGTTAAGTCACAGTACTTGATTAGTGTTGAACTATGGGACAATGAAGGGAGGCTTCTCTGCAAGATTCCAGGCACTGCAAGAAAGCCTACCAAGTAGAGGACTGCTCTTGGAAGTGTAAAGCGATGCAACACCCATCTCAATGAAGCGGTTTTGGCTAAGTCACACCACCTGACAGATGGGACCAGCTCACATTGCACCAAGGGACAGTTACTACAGTTCACTTGAGTCTTGATGTATTGTGGACAGCCCTGCATCAACCCTGCAACGGAGGGTTTTTTGGAACCACACAGAAGTCCAGGGTTAGGTTCCTAAACTGTTGACATCTAGGCACCGAGGTGCCCTAATTTCCCAATCAGTCTGAGCACTCATGCTGTATTTAACATTTTGCAGGGTGTCTCTATTAAATAGTCACTGACCATGAACTTAAAAGAGACACTTCAGCTGTAACATTAAAATAAGTTGGGATGTCATCCTGCAATACAGGAAAGTGAAGGTTGGATGGAGTGATCCCTACAGAAATGACTCCGTGGATTGCTGTGGAGAGAAGTTGGAGAAGTGGAAGGGACTACACGGCTTACCTGTAACAGTGGATTTCCTGGCTGAAACTCTGTATAGGAGATCAGTCTTGCACGCTTTGTAACAGCAGCTGTGTTTGGTATTCTGCACTGAAATAGTCTTGGAAGATGTCACTCCTTCATCACTATTGCAGAGCCTGTGTACAAATTTTACATAGCTGCACAGGGACAATCTTTATGGACATTAGTGCTACTAATTTCAGGTGACCAATGTATCTGGTGGAGAATTAGACCAACAAAACCTTATGACCAGCAGTGTCAGTTCTACCTCTCCATTCATTAGTCAGTATGACAAGATTGAAATATTTCACGGCTTTAGGGCATTTCAAAAAATGAGAAAACTGATGCTTGATAGTGCTAGCTAAAAACATTCAGAACCCTGTGGATGAACATCCAAATTCTGACTCAGGTAACCAAAACATACGACTTCATCTGCATATTTTCCACAATGTCATGTTTCTTTTAGTACGTGCTGCCTGAGATGTGTTTGGAGGGGAACAGTATTGTGATTGGCCTCAGTTGAGAAACCTTCAGTTGAAGGAGATGTACATGGTACTGTCTTTTATCAAGCAGAGAAGAGAATGGTGACCCTGAAGTGAAGGTGTCAGGGCAGGTACAAAACTGTCAAATTTGTTGAGTCATTTAAAGTAACAGAAAGAAGTCACTCACTCAGACAAGGATAAAGAAGGGAGAAGGTAAGTTGGATACCGAGGCAGAAGGAGCTAGACTGAAGCAGCCCAGGAGCGCAGTGTCCAGCTACCAAGCTGCATTTTCCTCAAACCAGAGAGAGACCCCAAACTCCGATTTTAACATTGCTTTCCTGATAGCAAGGATCTGTGAAACCTGCTGGTAAAGTGTGCACTCCATCTGCACCGATATCAGGGCCAGAGACCAGGACAAGGACAACCTGCTGTTGGGAGAAGCTCCTCAGAGCCTGTGGCAGCCATCTAGGCAATAGATACAGGAATCCTTCAGTATTAGCTTGCCATGCCGGAGTTCATCTGGTTCCAAATGCATCAGCTGTAGTCTACACTCTGTGTTGTAATACCGGTAAAGGAAAAAATTAAAGTTGGATGGAGGATTTGGCATGGCATTCTTTAAGTTCATGCTCTCTTTGTATAATGTAGCTATAATAATGTACTTTTTAATGCTAATGTAGTTAGTGTAGTTTTTCTAATAACTTTATAAGAAGGGTTTTTTCTCCTGCAAGGTGCTGAATATTCTCTTTTTCCTTAAGTTATTGCAATTCAGGATACCATACCCTTGCAGGGGGTCCTAATTTTCAAGTACAGGCAGCATTCGAGGAGGACCAATTTCAGTTTCATTCCCCTGAATTAACATTATGCATGCTGAAAACAGAAGCTAGTATAAAAAGCAATTGAGATGAGTTAAGAGGATTGGAATTTTCTTTGCTACTGTATTTCTCCTCTTTTACACCTTGGCCATTTCATCTGTGAATGATTAATTAAGGTCCAAGTGATTAGATTAGGCAAATGTGCTGACTCAAAATGTAATAGGAGTGGAGGAAGAAATGAAAGAGTAAAGGCATAGTAAATACGCAACACATTTTACAACAAGACTTTTTTGCTAGTTCAAGGTAATAGTTTTATTAGCTTGCACTAAATGCATATGGCTGGAATGATGACAGCAAAATAAAACTTACAAGACCTCTGTATTCAGACTAATAGAGTTGTTCAGAATAACAGAGAAATGGCAATCATTATGCCTCCGAACATACTTTGTATACCTGAAGTAACCAAAGTGAAATCTGTTGACAAAGGATAAATTTTTCAGGATTTAGGCCCTAAAATAAGAAGCGATGGCTTAGGTCTTCAGGTTGAGAGCAAGAGAAAAATGTTGAGCTCCTGAGCACTGAGAGATCCCCCAACTCCCACCTGAGCATCAGCATCCTTGTGTTTCTGGTACCCTTGTACTGACTCACTTGATTACCTCCTGGAAAGACTCCCCTGCCTCCTCTCATTCCTAGTGATAGGAGACATCTCTCCAGAGCATATTTTCCACTATTTTCACCCCCACCTGGCCCTGCGTAACTGGAATTTGCAATTTACTGATGGCACAGGGCAGATTTTGCAGACAGTAGCTGTTTCAGGGCAACTTTATAGGGAACACAGGTGAGAAGATCTGGGCTTGCTGACTTCACTTTTCTTTGACAGGCAGGCTGGCAATACTGCAAAGAAAAGAAAGGGAGAAAAAAATCAATCTTATTATGCTGGCTTTTCTGGAGATTGAATTAGAAGGAAGAAGTACAGAAGCTGGTAACTGTCCTTACTCCTTGTGAGTAATCTTGACTGCTCAGGTGTTTCTTGGAAAGGCATCTCTAATCATTAACTTCTTACCATCGGTCATGGAAGGTACATTTGGTAGTCAGCTCCCATGACCAAACCTAAGTTATCAGAAACAATAAAACAAGAATAGGGACCTTGGTAAACTTGGGAAATTCCTGAAGGACTGCTTTATTTTAAAACAAGATTTGCATGCAGGTTCTCAAGTTGAGTTGAAGATATCGAAGGGCCTCAGCTGAATATATTGTAGGAGGTTTTCGATAGGAATAGTGAAGCCACTGGATGTTTGAGGAAAAGAATGTAAAAATGAATAAATTAATTTGTGGCCGTTGAAAGGAAAATTGAAAATATTAAGCATTCCAAAATGTTTTGATTCAAACCTGAGCTATTTATTTTAATCTGATGCTTTCACATTTCTTAAGGTCACTGTAAACAAAAGTGGAGCTTTCAAGCTTTCATTGAAAAATGATTTTCCACAATTAATACATTTTGACTATCTCCTTATTACTTTATCTAGAGAGCTAATAAATGACAAATGACATGCATTTTTCATGACTCTGCATTTCAGTTATTTATCAAGTTACCTCTAACATTTCAGTTGCCTTTATCAACTACCTGGAAAAATCAATATCTGATAGGACTCCATGGCGTGTAACAAAGTATATAAGCATGAAGTTTGTATTGCTTGGTCTCAATTTGTCACTTCAAACCATCTGACTTAGAAGTGACTCTTAAATCCTCTTGTCATTTCACTGTTATCTGATTTGCAGGAATCCAAGACTTAAGCAAACATGTCCAGCCCCAGTGAGGCAGAACTCATTCACATGTTTAAGGGGATTCCCTTTACCATCAGGTCTTCTCCAGAACTTTTAAAATCCTTGGATACTTTTGATGCTAGAGAAGATGATGTCCTTTTGGTTTCCTATCCCAAATCTGGTAAGTTCAACTTTTAGATGTTAATTTTAAGAAGTGTCAATTGTTTGTTTCATGTTTTCCACTTTAACTGCTTGGGAAATGTCTTTGTACCAGAAACAAGGAAAGATGTTTTAGTATATGAATATATTATTCTGTCAGTAAGTGTTCAAATTACAAAAAAATTATGAGTCGTTATCTAAATTTTGATTCTTTAATTGAAAATAATCTCAGGTATTTTCATATTGGAAAGCAAATAAATATTTATTTCTTGTAAGCAAAATCTGTGCTTGAAGGATTTTCCTGAGGACTTTCTACATTCAATTATGAGCAAGTCAAGAGTTGTATTAAGTTATTTGTATGGCTCTTGGCTGTGGATTTATTCATTTCTTATTCCCTCTCCCCCCACCTGACTCACACACAGAAGTACACACCAAAGAAGAAGCTCAAGCAGTACTTCCCAAATATACAGACTCAAGTTAGTATAAGGAAAAAAACCCCAGGTTATTCTCAAATTAATGATAAAAATAATATAACCTCTCAGCTGACAAGCAGTTTGTCTCATGAGATTGTTTTGGTACCAATATTAACACTTCTCAGAGAGTTACTTTGTACTTCAGCTACAGCCCTACTTTTCCCAGTATTTGTACATTTGGAGCCAACAAGATTATTCAGTTATGTAGAGTTTCTTGAGTCTGGGCGATTAGAAGTATCACTCGTGCACTAGCAAGCCGTTTCAATATGCAAAATGCATGTTCCACGTATTTTCTCAGTAACAAATCTTCCTTTTTTCTTTTTTTTTGTTCCTTGAAATTACTTTTCTGCAGGCACTCACTGGCTTGCAGGAGTTACAGCAAAGCTTTACAATACTCAAGTTACACTAACATCACCCATTGAATTTGGAGACATATCCAAACTGGAGGAACTGAATAAACTCTCATCAAAGAGAATCATCCCAACGCACTTAGACTACAACATGTTACCTCTAAATTTTAAGAAAAAAAAATGCAAGGTAAGGCCCAAAGGTATAAAAGCAGTAAGATATGTTGTGTCTATTAGGTATCTATCTTGACTTGTTGTTCCTTAATAATTTTCAAATGATTTACAGTTTCCAGAAGTGGTTTGCTATGAATTTTGGCGATGCAGCTGACCAGCAGTCTGAGGCAGCATGAGCAGAGACTTGGGCTAGAGACTGGGATCTGCTCCTGCCCCACTGCTCCCACGGGGTGATCTGTATACCAGGCACCACACAAAATACAACATCAGCTTCTTTCAATCAGAAATATATTATCAGGGATTGGGGTTGTTCTCATGGCCCCACGTCCTAGTGGCTGGAGCATTTGCTTAGAAAATAGTTATCTTGGGTCCTTACAGGCTGTTCTGGGAGTGGAGATACTCTGCCTTTCCTACTGAAGCTTTGTGAAGACCCTGTGAAGGAGATATTGGGGAAACAGATAAGGATTGAAATGTGGGAGGCGGATTCAGACCACAGTTTTGGGTTCCTCACATGCTAATGTGGGAGGTCTTTAAAAAATCAGCTTTGGCCATCAGATTTTAGGTTAGAAGTTCAAAATTTCAGGATTACTCAGATCCAGACTTTTGGGGCAAGGCTAATTTGAACAAAAGGCCAAAATTTATGTTTTGCAGCTGTCCTGTGAATATTAGTAAATGGTTTTGTGTGTTAGATTTATGAGATAGTACACTGACTCACGAGTTAAAATGAACACAGCCTCTTTCATAAAACATAAACATTACCCAGCTGCAGGAAACACACCTCTGTCCACATGGAATTGTTTACTAACCACTACTGACTCCTGCCTAACCAGGGACAAATATATTTCTACCTTAATGGCATGGTCACCTCCTAAAGGAAAGCATTTTGATGCTGCAAACTGCCTGTGAAAATGCTACACTTATACGCAGAGTTCCTCTAAAATAAAGGAAGGATATTATCATTAGTAACCATATCATCTTCATTTACAGATGATCTACATCAGCAGAAATCCAAAAGATACTGCAGTTTCCATGTATCATTACTACAGAGATAACCCAAACCTTCCCACTGTAGACACCTGGACTGCTTTCTTTGACTTGTTCTTAAAAGGAGACGGTAAGGATAAATGTTATGTTTTCTCCTCGCAGTTTACATTAGCTTATTATGCACAGAAAGAGTTAAGAAATGTGAACTGTGTGAAAACTCCTTTTTGAACTACTTATTCATGAGGCTTTAGTTGGGGTTTTCTTTCAGGATAAATTCTAATGCCGAACTAAACAAGAGCAAATAATAGGATGCTATCTTCATCCCTGCAAGGAGACATTTCGATAAGCGGCTGCGTTATTTCAACACAGCCGCTCTTTGCGGGGTTTTGCTGTTCTTTGACATCTCTGTTAAAAAACATATTCTCACAGACAAGTTACGGATTTCAGTTTTTCCGACAAACATTCCGAAACCCCTGACAATTTGTTGATTCTGACGCGGATTTGCCTGTGCTAAAACATTTCCAACCTTGCCCTGTGAACCACAGTAACAGACTGCTTCCCACCAAGAATTCATGTTTGCACTGCGATAGAGGAGGTATGCGGATACAGCTCCTCCCGAGCAGATGTAAGGGCAGCCGGGCTCGCCGCAGCCAGCTCCTGTCCTCGGCCAGCGGGCCGGTAGGGCAAGCGCTCTGTTCGAAGGTGCTCAGCCGGCAATACCTGGCTGAAGCACAGGCAATGGGGTGCACGGGGGGACCATCCCCAGGCTGCGCCGAGAGCTGTGCTCGCGGGTGCAGTGCCTTCTCCCGTCCTGAAGACAGCCATGGGTGGCCCTTCCAAGGGAGTCTAGATGACTGCCATAAAGCCCTCCTGCACACCATCTGCCCGATGTGTCGTCTTAGTAGTGGGGTCCAAGGACCAAGGACGAGAGTGAGATTTCTATGACTAGCAGTGGTGGCATGGAAGCTGACAACAGGACCGCGTTCCAGCTATCCACTCCCATTTTCAGTGTTTTATTACTCCTTTCGGAACACGTGTTTCTGCTATATAACCATGGTGATGATAACAGCAACAATGATAGATCAGCCTGAAAACTTGGGAAGAAAAGTGCCATTGCATTCATCAAGGGCTTACATCAAAGCCCCAGAAGTCAATTCGACTACTGGCTTGTGTGGGCTTTGGCTCAGATCTCGTGTTCCTAGTTCAGAGCAGCCCTAAGGCACGTGCTTCAGGGATGTGCAGGATCTTGGCTTGTTTAGTAGCAACTCCGAGCATACGATAGTGAAAAAAAGAAGAGAGGGTTATATTAAATTTTAAAAGCATCTCCCATTTATCTGTAAATTAGAGGCCACCTTCTATTATCTGTGTGCTTATGCATGGCATAAAAAGATAACTACGTTGGTTACAACAGAAATTTATGTAAGAGGTGATACTGAGAGAGAGAGTTTGTCATTTTTGCTCCCAATAGAAACATATGAAGGTTATGATGCTTGATTCAGATCCTGTAGTACTCTTGCAGAGTTAAACTCAGTTCAGAACAAGGGTGAGGACACACAGAGACCACTGTGATGCTGCCCCTGGAGTCTCCGAGGCTGTATGCTGTACCCCTGAAGCCAACAGGGCTATTCTATGTTATCTTTGGCCACATCCCCAGTGTGGCTGACCAGGAGAGCAGGATTTAATTGAACACTGTGGAGCACGCATGCCTTGCAAGTTAAACAGTGCTTTGTGTGCAGGAGACGGCTACAGACTGAAGCATTCAGCAAAATACTTAATTACTTCTCAAGGTTTGCAACCAAAATGATGCCCATTACAGTATTATACTTTTCTGGTAGCAGTTATAAAGCAAAGTCACAGTTCTGGAGAATGCTTGCTGTGATTGCTCTATCCAAGCCTCTTCTCATCACCCTACAGGAGTCTTTCAACTCAGCTTTCAATGCAGTCCATCTTGTCTTTCAACCAGAAAGGTCAGAATTTTGTTTTTAAAGGAAAGCTGAAATTTCTCTCTCCTCCCATGGTTCACCAAAAGGTGCATTCAGACAAAACAAGTACTATGAGTCAACTATAAAACCACGTTATCTATGTTGTTGGCTGAATGATGTATGTACATAACTTCTTTACATAACTCTTCTTTGACTTTTAAAAATAATACAGATTTCCCTCTGCTGGGACAAAACAGAGCTAATGGTGTGCTCCATTTAACAGACTCCTTATTTCGTTTCCTTGTGAAGTGATCGTATTTCTAGCTGTGACCACAGACGTGCAGACATTTGCTGAGATACTCAGACTTTGTTAGGCCAGTACGTTTACCTTCATTACTGGCCTTTCCTTAGATTTGGAGGCTGTTTCCACTACGGAATCATATCTCAGAGCAGTATCTTCATCTCTGATACAAAAACAAATTCCAAAAAGAATGGTAACCTCTTTGGATTGTAAGTTTGAGTCACTTCACAAAAAGAATTGAATCTGGTTTAGAGGAATACAGGGTACATGTTACCAAGGGATCATTCCCCTAAATGTATGAGGTACCTAACATCAGAGTTATTTATGAATAAAGTTTATATCAATCTCTTTTGCGTGGGCTTTCTCTTCAGTTGTCTGCGGATCCTGGTTTGATCATTTCCTAAGTTGGGAAGAACATGCAAATGACAAAAACATCCTGTTTTTGTTCTATGAAGACATGAAGAAGGTAAATATACTCTCTGCTTTTATTTCAGAATGCATTACTTGTAAATTAACATCATTAAAATATCAAAGAGCAAATTATAATGAAAAAGGAGAAAGAAGGAAAATGTGAATGTATGTCTTTGGGCATAGTTTATATTTGCATAGAACTTTACATTAGTGAGCTGATTCTGACTGCACAAGTTATATAAATATCAAATCCTGTGAGAGCTGCATTTCATAGATGCAGGATTGGGACACATATTACATGATTTTCCCCAGGCTACAGAAAGAATTTTAAGTTCCTCATTATTGGTCCTATGGAAGGATCAACCAAGGACATCTGTTGAGGGCCATGTTAACCTGCTATGCCTGACATTTCAGGTGAAATTTTCAAAAAGGGACATAAGACAACACAACTACTCATGGTCTGTGGGACTTGTGCTCCCAATAAAGAAGAAAATTAGAGGCTAGGGGGGTAGGAAAAAAGTTTTTATGAAATGAAGTTACTATGCAGAAAACTCAAATACCAATACTTCAGCTTTCAGAGAATGAATTTTGGGGTGAATAGAAAACACTTTCTAGTGTTTCCATTAAAATAGTTTTGTTCATTTGGGGGAGGGGGGTAGAGTCCACTACGAGGAATATAAAAAAGCCATTTTGGATCCTGAGTCACTTGTTGGATCTCTAGATATAGCACCTCCAGTGAAATAAGCTACTTACACAGAAGCCGAGCTTTGAGTATTTCTCTATTCCCAGTGAAATAATTCTGAGACAGGAGAACACTGCCTGAACTAGGAGTAAAACTGGCAGCGTAGCTGTATTTGATATCACATACTTGGCATTTACTCATTTCTGTGAGTATGGGTAAGAGGGGAATCAGGTTTACTGTACCTGTCATCTACACAGTCTAATGACATGTCTAGCTTTGTTTGAAAGCAAATAAATGTGTGATAAACCTGAGAGGTAATAAAAAGGAACATTTTCCTATCAACTAGAAGTCTGATAATCAGCTCAGAAATACAAAAGCTTCATTTTTCTTGTACCTCAGGATCTCCCTAAGATCGTAAAGGAAATTAGTCTGTTCCTGGGTTTAAACATCAGTGACAATGATATCCAAGACATCTGCAAGAAGTCCTCTTTCTCAGAGATGAAAAGCAACACAGAGAAGGAAAACAGCGATCCCAGTCACACCGTTTGTGCACTGACATCCAACAGGAGGCTGATTTTCCGAAAAGGTAAGTTCCCTGGGCCGGGCTTAACACAGCAGAAGGAGCGGGAATCCAGCCAGAGGCCACAGTCCAGGTCTTTCCCAGGCTGTAGTGATGCTTTGGGTCAGCCCTGGGAAGCAGTGACAGGCACCTTCAATTTGAAACCATCTTAAAAATCACTTTCTAAGTTCTCTGGTTGCAAATGCATGCTTATACTAGAGAAGCACAGAGGAGTCTGAGCAACAGTCTGACTAATATTGCTCCGTGGGAGCTTCTGAGCTAAAAGGAAAGGTTCATGAAGCATTACTCTTTATCTGTCCTTTTTTATCTAAAAGTTGACCACCTTAGTCTTTTACAACATGTCCCCTTGATATCACCTGCGAAGGTCACTTAGTTTACCAGAATGAGAAAGAGCGAGACACATTCCTTCTGAAGGAGACTGCTCGTAGCCTTTATCCCCCGTACCACCTCTTATCTTATTGAAATGTTCCTGGAAGAGGAATATGCTGACCATGACAACAATGAAAGAATGGATGACTCATTCACCTGATGGCCTTATAGGTAGCCTTCAAACCTTGGCCAAACTGGAATCCATGGTAAAATCTTCAACAGTGCTTAGCTCAAATGTGACTTTAAAATACCTGCAGGAGCTGTTTTCTTGCTCCTGACATTTCAGAAGCTTCCTCAGATTTGGATAATAAGTAAATCAAAACCACCATGTTTAGATGTATTTTGATTATTTTTACTTAGTTAATTTTTGAACAATAATTGACAGTTTAAAACTCAGAGTTGTTTCAATTAATAAATAGGGAAATGGTATATTTTGCTAATTCAGAATGTTTTTACCAGTGAGCTGAAGCAAATGCCAAAATACCATCTGACAGTAAAAACCAACCAACCAAAAAACTCAGATACATTTTTCTAAGTCAGTGAACTTTGACAAAGCTATGTTGAAAAATTTGAAAAATCCCAACAGTTTGACTTCCAAGTAGTTCCTATGCAAATCCTAGAGTCTTAGCTAGCTTCAGCCAGTTTAGGGAAGATTTATAGGTAGATGTTATTCTTCAGGCTCTCTTTTCTTGTCCTTGTTGTCTGGAATGCTGTTTTAGTCAGCAGTTCTGGGATGCAGGGTCTTTAGAGGATGCATATGAGGGGAAACTGTAAGCATTGTCTCATTAAAATATGTCAATTTAAAAAACAATTTCCTGTTTGCTCCAACTGGGTAACAGTTGAAACGCTTTACTGAACATGAGTGTGCATGGTCACCTAGAAGTAGTTACCTGCCCACTTAAGTAGGAGGACATGTCATCTGTAGAAACCCCTAGAGATTAGGAGCGGGTGTGAGGGTGGGATTCATCCATCAGGTCACTCTGGGCTCCTTTTTTAGGAGACTTCTTTAGTCAACAGAGAGATATACCTGATTTTGAGGCACCATTCATTTGATCTGTTTTAGATGTTGACTAGGATGAGATGAATTTCAGCCAGGAAATAATCATTTCCCTCTATTGACTGTGAAAGAGCCCAGGCGGAGACCTTTAGCTGCATACATCTAAGGTGTGGCAAGATGCCTCTCTGACGAAATGACCGAGAGCTTTAATTCCATCTAGGAAACCTGCTGCTGTTCATGTACCACTTAGCGTTGTTGGCACTAACCAAGTCTGAGGCTGAGGGTTTAACGCCCTTTATGGATGGTGATCCAGCTGCTTCCATCAGAGTCTCACCAGACCAATAAAACGGTTACTCACGATCATGACCTACCACAGAGACTATGGCTAATAATATATTAATAAGTTGTGCCAACTGCAACATTAACAAAACTGGACTCCCTTTAAATCATTTTCTGCACTATATATTGCTAGCCTCACTGTTCTTTTTCTGCTCCTGCTCTCCTAGGCACTGTTGGTGATTGGAAGAACCATTTCACTCCAAAACAGAATCGAAGGTTTGAGGAGATATTTAATGAGAAAATGAAACTCAGCAAAATGGCAAAAAGTCTCACCTATGAATTTTGAGTCCATGTGAAGAACAATATCCAGTTATCAATAAACACAAATAGAGCAATTGGTGGGAAATTCTGAATGGGGGCTCCCATTCAGTTTACAATCTTCCCAATAGAAAGGATTGTAAACATGAGATTTTGAGGACGGGAAAATTCTGACACAATGCCAGAGCTGAACTCAGTTTTCAGTGGGCAGATGTGTATGGTTTTACAGAGTCAGGTGTCAGACCCATTTTTCTACAACCAAATCTACTTTATAATTTATTTATTTTTTGCTCTAGAGGGATACAAATGGACTTCTTAGATCTGATTTAGGAATTTTACCTAAGATGTTAAGAAAAAAACAAAACACAAACCCATAAGAATCTGAATATATAAAAAGCCTAAAAACACATCATAAGAAAATGACCAAAGATTTGACCCCAGACTCGCTCCCTCCCTGATGTACCATGATTTGGAAAGTGCCTATCTCATCGGATTTTGTTATTGATACTGAAGTTGAAAACTGCAGCTGTACATTTGAAGATCTGGGGTGAAGCTTGTCTATAAAATGTTGTTGTTTTTTTTTTTACAATAAGTAGTTCTTTGATGTAACTTATTTCTGGGTTAGGTGCTGCATAGTGTTTGTGTTTTACATGAAACTGATATAAATCCATGGAAATTTCTGCACCGTAAGTTGGGGACTGTAAACATTTTTTTTTCTGTTTGACTTTCTTCCTGCAAAATGCTTGTTTCCAGTGTTTTGATGAGAACCATTTTACTTCACAGACCTTGTGCAATAGAATTCAACAGTTCCACTGTGGCAAACAAACCACTACTCAGAGACAGTTTACTCTGAACACGACTTATTTATTTACCCTGCCCTGATAAGACAGATTTTCCAAGAATCAGCTGTCTGTGTTCACATCCTAGGGACTGTTCTAGGAACCTAGTGAAGGTTTATTCCATGATGTGTTTTTTGTCCTCATCTTCAAACTGCTTCGCAGGCTGCCTTTCAGGACTCTTCTCCCCAAACTAGCTCTCCCCAACCATACAATTCCAAGGCATCAGCAGGCAGAAAAAACATAGGAAAAGCTGATCGCAAAGAAACTCATGCAGACAAGCATGATTACTCTGCTTTGACTCCTGTGTGCTCTGAAGGTACAGATCTGTAAGGCAAGCTCACCTCCTGGGTGTGTTGGTTCTCAAAAGCTGAGGTATGGCCTTACTTACAGTGAACACTAATGCTCTCTCTAGTCACGTACTTCACACTTGCCACACAACCCTTTCATTTCATACCTTGCTTGTGCAAGCTGACATCAATACCTACGGATTTTGCATCTGCACAGATGATGCAGGAGTTACACACTGAAGAGATTAGCAAGAGAAAAGCCTGTTTGACTGCAGGTCCTTGCCATTTACCAATTCAACGCAATTTAAGGGAGAGGCTGCCCTGAGCACTGTTTTATGCAAATGACCTATTTGGAAACCAGAAGTTTGCGTTGCTTTGCTCTTCTGACACTAAAATCATTCTTTCTCCCTCTAAAATGCCATGAAACACTGTTGCCCTCCTTTCAGGTGTCATTCTTCCACTATTAATAAACAGCAAGGGATCAGTTAATGAAGATGCTTGAACATTTTACTTAAAGACTTATTTTTTCTAGCCCTCTGAGTATGGAAAAAAGCCAAAGGGTCCCTGGGCAAATGAAGTTTGCAAGCGAGTTTAACTGCATTAAGAAGACTGCTATAAGCAGCATTTATATGTATATTCAGAATATGAAACTGTGTGTGAAGGGGCAGGGTGAGGACATGTCATGTGGATCAACGAGGGGGTTAAAGCACACAGTCCTGAACTGGCTGAAGGGATAGCATCAGAATATGAGGTAGTGAGTGTTTTGTCAGCTGTCTGACCTCTAGCACTGCACTGCAGAGTTAAATGGACTTTTAAAATAAAGTTCCTCTCAGTAACACTTTGCACTTACACAGCATTTTTAATCTCCAAGTGCTTTAAATACAGCTTTACTCCAGCTTTACACAATGCAGCCACACCTGAGGTAGAGTGCAGCAACTGGCTGGCAGTAAGTAAGAGCCTGAAAAAGCAAGCAGCTTCTGTTAGTAAAACTACAGGGTAGCAGGTCGAGCCTAGGCACTGTCAGAGCCCAGTGCAGCCGCAGACAGCATAGCAAAACTTGCCTATGTCAGAGGTCCAGAAAGCTAGGCTGGGCACTGTTCCTAAAGGATGGGGATAAGTGATGGCAGCTACTAGCAACCAGGGTCTCCCAGCAGCTGCTACGCCTACCTTTTCTTCCATCCTCTTTGTTCTTGCTCTCCCCACTGCGCTGCTACTCTCCCTCCCCTTCTATGACTGTAGCAGAGGGATTCAAACTGAATTTTTCAAAGAATTGTCAATCTGGCTCCACAAGTCATTTTGGCAGGTCATCGAGATATTAAAAAATTTTCAAAACTTCCATAGTAAGATGTTGTAAAAATGTCTCTTCTCCTCTCCATTTTTTCGAGAGAGAAATTTCAGCCCTACAAAACACAAAAATACTGGTCCAAAATGTAACTAGAACACAGCAATGCCAGGTTTGAAGAAACAACGCCCCGTGCAACCTCTATTACATGTAAATGGTTACAATACTGCTTTCCTATTTGGGTAATATATTCTACCTTCCTGAGTAAGGGCTCTTCTCAAGATTGATTTAATTAGAGGACAGCATTAAACATTTATGCCATCAATGCTGAGGTGTGAGGCTTCTAGCTGTTCTTGTTGAAGTTAGCCTGCTTTGCTCGCTACCCAGGCTTACCTGGCCTTTGGGTGAGATGGAAAAGAGCATTTGGGAGGCCAGAAATCTTGTGGCAGGAACACATAAATTCCAGGCCTTGCTTCAAGGACCTTTTCCCTGAAAACATCACGCAACTATCCTCTAAAGTAGCTCTCAGAGAAGAACAGGTGCTGAGGTGAACATCCTGGCAACCTGACTTTAAGTCACATTAGTTCTGATACCATTGAGTTTGATGCTTAAAGCAGTTTATTGGAGGAAACAATGACTTGAAAAAAAATCTCTCTGAATAGCTTCAGGAACGCCCTGTAGAAGATGCAAGTGAGTCTGGGGAAGTGAGGGGGGAAGAGCAGGCAGGGGAAGGAATCTGAGCCAGTTCTGGTAATCTTTGAAGCCAGAAGTCATAGGAAAATAGAGAAGACTAAGGAGATCAGTTGGTGGGTTTCTGCACTGGGTCTAAGTAGAGCAGAGATGCTCAGGGGATCGAGACAGGGGTTTACGTGTAACCATCTGGCAGCTGGAAAAGTAAATGTGGAGGACCAGAAGGAATTTCCATGGGGCTCGCTTCATGACCAGCCAACGAGACAGGAAAGAGAGTCACAGACCGCTGACAAAGAGGCAAGGGCACTCCTGCTGCAAAGACCCAGTGGGGATGGGACAGGAGGAATCAAGCCTGACAGAAAAGGCTCAGTGTGGGGGTGAAGGCGATTGCTGAAAGACCATGCTCAGAAAGGGGGAAAAGGACTGAGTGGCCATATCACTCTTTCACCAGTTCCAGCCTCACAGGTGACCACAATCCACCTTCTTTCAAGGGACCAGCAACCACAAGAGACAATTCTGCAGCAACTTCTCTATTAACTTTGATAGGAGACAGTCCTCCCCTTTTCCCAAATCTGTTTACCCATCCTGCATATCACAGAGGATAATCTGTAGGAAAGGACAGTGAAAGACGGTGGGTGTGCATGGTGAGAGATTGCCTTTCCCAGGCTCCCGCAGAAGAGGCTTCTCCTTGGCCAAGCAGAGAGGAGCGGTGGCATCTCACGGCCCCAACAGGGAGCGAGCGGGAGCACCCAACAGCTGCTCGAGTGGAAAATGCGGTGACAGAAAAGCGTGAAGTCACAAATTACATTGCCGTGCCTCCTTTCGGCCTCTTTCCAAACTGGTCCTGCAGGCCAACGCTAAATGGAGAAATAGCCATCTTGGAAACAACTGGAACGCCATAGCAGCAGAGACATGTCCACTCCAGCATGGGCTCTGCAGCCATCCAGGCTTTCTGCCAGTAAAATGGGAAGCAGCGCTGCCTCTGAAAGGAACAGAAATGTTTATTCTTCACTGACATCTATTGACTGCAGTGTTCTAACTGCAAAGCTCTGCACAACAATTAGGCATTCATTTTCGCAGGCTGCTGCGGGGCTCAAAAGCAGAAGCAGACTCTGAAGGGAATCAGACACAGGTTTGAGGGGAGCAGGTTTGTCTCTGGGTAGCTAGGGACGGTCCTGATGCACAGCCTGCTTATGAAGTCCTTCATTTCTGACTGCCAGTGTCTGCAAGGATGCACCTGGGAATGATCAATCTGCACCACTAAGAATCTACTAGCAGCCACAGTAGAGACAGGATGATGGGACAGATGATGGCATTCATGTGTAAGCAAATATTGATGCTTGGGAGTAATAAAAGCAGATTTTCCTCTTCTGCCTGCAAGGCTTTTCACTAAGACAAAGGACAACTGTGGTTTGTTGTTCTCTGTCATTTGTGACCTTGGTAAACTACTTAGACCTAATCCAACAGCCAGGTAGGTATCGCTGTGCTGCTCAAACTGCAGTTAGTTGCCTAGCTACTTAAGAGGCATGAGGAATTAATCAGTCTACAGCATTGCCTACTGGCTAAATTAAGGATTTACCTACATTCCAATTAAAAAAAAAAATAAGGTACAGCAGGACTTCATTGGCAGGTGAATGAAATGCAATATAAAGCTAGCTTGTACATCTCTGTGCTGTCCAAGCTCAGACACCAATGAAATGACAGCAGCTTAATTGAAGCAGCCCAGACTTGAGTTCCCCTGCTTCTTGGCAGGGGCATCAGTACAGAGGCACTGCAAGGCACAGATCCAGTTAGCTCGCTGTTCTCTACAATGCCATGCACTGCCTGCAACTTTACCCTGAAAACCCCTGAAATCTCTTGGCTTTCATTGTAAGTCAAATGTGTGCTTTCTTTAAACAAACAAATAAGAAACTTCGTGAGCTTTGCTCCT